GAGCGTGGGCAGTAAAACCGTTGGTAAGACTTGGTGTTCCCATAACTTTTAGGATTCAAGATGGTAAATTTATTAAGAATAATGACTAATCTAGCTCTAGGTAGAAACAAAGAGATAATTATAAGAGTAATGAGAGCAGAAAATGAAAATTCTTCCTCTTCACAAACAATCTCTTCTTCTTCTACAACTCCACAACAAATTGTCACGACCCCTTTTATAAGGAACCGAGATTATTGTTTCTACATTACATACTTATTTAAGATAAAATAATAGAGAATATAAGTATAAAATTCACTTCTCATTCAAAATAAAACAAAATTTCTTACAACAAATATCCAACAGAATAACATGATATTACATTTAGTTCATAATGTTCAAAATACCAAAATTAAACTATGTAGGTCCTTCTACATGAGGTTTCAAAATATAAGAAAAAAGGACTTTGATGCATTATTACTCAACTCCAGCTTCTAACATTTCTTCACTGGCCCCTTAGCTTGTGAAGTAGATGCAACACCTGCTACATCTGCTCACGTACCACCGTACGATCATCGCAGTACACATGCACACAACGACATAGAATGAAATGTAAGGGTGAGCTTACAAAATAAACTAAAATTGTATATATGTAACAAAAATATTATTCACAGCAACAGCCCCATGCATTACCAGCCCATCTAATGCACATCATGAAAATAGTTTTCAACTAGTTTCACAGCCTAAGTAATCTAGAAGAAACTGAGCTGGTCTAGAAGCGACCCATTCCGGTATCTGAATCCAGACAACACAGCACAACAGCTCAGCATGAACTTACCGTTACACGTCTACCCACCTAAACATGTAACTCGGCTCTATAATGATGCAAAACATATATCTCAGCATGATGTACACCGCCAAAATTATTTTAACAGCTCAGCTAAGGCAAGTTTATAATAGATCAGCCAAAATCTCAGCACTTTAAATCAATTAATAGTAGTGACAGCTTAGAAAATAGCTTTTATTCAACAGATCTAACAAAATCATATCAAAACATCTTGAAATAGCATATTAAATTGTTTAAAACGTAGTTCATAGGTTAAAGTAAACTCTCCTTACCTCAGAACGACGATTTACACTAGATCTATTGAATATTACTTGTTTTATAGCAAGATTTACCGAAGATTTGTCTTTAGAACAAAGTTTCTCTTCAAATCCTTAAGAATAGACGTAGAATCTCAGATCTAGCGAGAAATCTAAGTTTAAGAGGGTTTAGTATGAGAGAAAATGGTGGTATTTGGCCTTAGAACCTTTGAGAACCTTGGATAGGAGTGAAGAAATGAAAATTTCGTGTGAAACGCCCTTTTTATAGAATTTTTTTTGAAATTTAGTGTTCATCACCGGAAACACTGTTCACCGCCTTACTGTTCATGCTGGAAACAATGTTCAGGTCACTATTCATTCCAAAAATACTGTGCACGCATATTGTACACGCACTGTATGCGTATATGACGTCAGCCATGACGTCATACGATGTCACTGATGACGTCAGCAGTCACTGTAGATACGCAGTGTTTGGTGTTCATACACTGTTTGTGCTGTTTCATACGCAGTTTGTACGCAGTTTACTGTTCACAGGCAGTTTGACTGTTCATTGACATTGTTCATACAGTACTGTTCACTTTTTTTTTTTTTTAATAATTTCAAACTCCATCTAAATCTATTCCAATACCAAATAATCCTTCAATTAACATTTAACAAGTATAAAATATTATAGATTACTCAATAATAAATCACAATCCTGACAATTCTGCCCCCAAAAATAAATTTTTATCCTAAAAAATTTCATCCCTTAGAGAAAAGATGAGGTACAACTCTCTCATCCTTTCCTCTAACTCCCATGTGGCATCACCAGTTATTGGGTCCCAAACAACCTTTACTAACTGAATAGACTTGCTTCTAAGTTCCTTAACTTTAGTATTCTCAATACGAGCAGCTGGGACCTCCACAGACAAATCATCTCATAACTCCACAACATCAGGCTTGATTACATGAGACAAATCAGGAACATACTTTTTTAGTTATGACACATGGAAAACATTATGTAGTCGTCTACGATGTAATATCTGATATGGTCCTATGAACTTAGGTGTTAACTTCTTGGCTCTTAAGACTCGCCTCATACCTGTAGTGCGTGATACTCTCAAGAATACATGATCACCAACCTCAAATTCTAGGAATCTTTTGTGCCGGTCAGCATAAGATTTTTGTCGACTCTGGGTAGCTCTCAACTTTTCTCTAATGAGTTTAACTTTCTCCTTAGTTTCTTGCAACATTTCAGGTCCAACCATCAAATGTACTTCATCTTGTAACCAATATATAGGAGTTCTACACCTTCTGCCATACAGAGCCTCAAACGGTGCCATATCTATACTCGAATGATAGCTATTATTATAAGTGAATTCTACCAAAGGAAGCATATCCTCCCAATTACTCCTCTACTCTACAATACAAGTCCGCAATAAGTCTTCTAAGGTCTGAATAGTATGCTCAGATTGACCATCTGTCTGCAGATGATATGCAGAACTCAACCTCAACTATGTGCCCATAGCTTTTTGAAAACTCTGCCAAAACTGGGAAGTGAATCGAGGATTACTATCAGAGATAATACTAGAAGGTACTCCATGTAACCTGACAATCTCTCTGATGTACAATCCTGTTAATTTCTCCAAGCTAAAGGTCATGTTAATTGGCAAGAAATGTGCACTCTTAGTTAGCCTATCAACTATGACCCACACGGCATCATGATTTCTAACTGTTCTAGGTAGATAGGACACAGAATCCATAGTCATATGGTTCCACTTTCACTCTAGAATTTCCATCGTCTGCAACTCTCTTGGAAGCCTCTGGTGCTCCGCTTTTGCCTTCTGGTAAGTCAAACAGGCTTTAACAAACTCAGCTATCTCGCGCTTCATGCCTGGCCACCAAAACATCTGCTTTAAATCTTAATACATTTTGGTAACACCAGGACGAATGTTGAGACTACCCTTATGTCCTTCTTCTAGAATTGATCTCTCTAATCCAGTATCTCTAGGGACACAAACTCGACCATGGCATCTGAGAATACCATCAGCACTTTTGCTAAAACCCTTTGTCTTATCTATCCCTAAGAGAAATACAATCCGACATAACATTGGATCCCACAATTATTTGTCTTTAATTTTCTGTAAGAAATTTTTAGTCACCACAATTCGACTACAACTAATCTTTTCGGGTGATAAGTCCACATGTATGTTCAGGTCTCAGAATTGTTCTACCAAAAGGGTTTCACTGACTCTTAAAGAGAATGCCTGAACCACATTCCTACTTAGTGCATCGGCCACCACGTTAGCTTTTCTTGGATGGTATTAGAGCTGAAAATCATAATCTTTAAGGAATTCCACCCAACGTCTCTGCCTCATATTTAATTCTCATTGATCAAATAAATATTTCAGACTTTTATGATCACTATACACATCAAACTGAGCTCCATAAAGATAATGTCGCCACACATTCAGAGCAAAGACTACAGTAGCTAACTCAAGGTCATGAATCGGGTAATTTCGCTCATGAGTTCGCAATTGGCGAGATGCATAAGCTACCACTCTCTTATCTTGCATCAACACACATCCCAATCCCTGATGGGAAGCATCACAATACACCTCAAACGGTCGACTAGTATTAGGGAGAATCAGCACCGGTAAGGAAGTTAATCTCTGCTTTAACTCATTAAAGCTTTGCTCACATTCCTCAGTCCATACAAAGGGTTGATCATGGCGAGTTAACCGTGTTAATGGTGCAGCTATCTTCGCAAATCCCTCGATAAATCTCCGGTAGTAACCTGCTAGGCCCACAAAACTATGAATCTCTGTGGTTGTCTTAGGCCTTTCCCACTGCAACACCGCTTCAACATTGGAAGGATCAACTGCAATTCCCTTAGCTGAAATAACATGACCAAGGAACTTTACTTCATCTAGCCAAAACTCACACTTAGACAATTTAGCATACAATTGTTTCCCCCTTAAAACACTAAGTACAATCCTCAAATGCTCTGCATGTTCCTCTGACGAACTAGAATAAATCAAAATATCATCAATAAAGACTACCACAAATCGATCCAGGAAAGGTCTAAAGATTCGATTCATGTAGTCCATAAACACAGCTGGAGCATTTGTGACTCCAAAGGGCATCACTATATACTCATAGTGGCCATATCTAGTGCGAAAAGTAGTCTTAGGAATATCTTCATCCTTCACTCGGATCTGATGGTACCCAGACTTCAAATCAATATTAGAGAATACCTTAGCACCTCTCAGCTAGTCCATCAAATCATCGATCCGCGGCAACGGGTACTTATTCTTAATTGTCAACTTATTCAACTTGCAATAATCAACACATAATCTAGAGCTTCCGTCCTTCTTTTTCACTAAGAGAACTGGTGCTCCCCAAGGTGATACACTCGGCCTAATCATCTGTTTTCACATTAGATCCTCGATCTGCTCCTTAAGCTCCATAACTCTTTCGGTGCCATCTTGTAAGGTGCTACAGACACTGACTCAGCTCCAGAAATCAAATCTATAGAAAACTTCACCTCTCTACGTGGAGGTATTTTAGGAATATCCTCTGGAAAAATCTCAGGAAATTTCCGTACTACTGGTATTAACTGAAGGCTTTGCTTCACTTCTGCATTCATAACTCCCAACAAAATAAAAAAAGATACTCTCTCACCTAAGGATGTTTCTACTTGGCGAGTAGAAATCAATTCTACACAGCCTTGCTACTCTGAAAAGATTAAACACCTCCGACCACAAATAATTAGCACACGGTTGACAGTTAGCTAATCCATACCCAGGATTACATCTAACCCTGACATCGGAATACAAATAAGATATACTTTTTATCTTCGTCCCTCAATTACTATGGGGCACCTAACACAAACCGTTGAAGTCTGAATTGAACTTAAAGTAGGTGTCGATACTACCAAGTCACATCCTAAGTTTCTCACACAAATGTCCGCAATAAAAGTGTGTGGCTTCAGAGTCAAACAATACAGAAAGAAAAGTATCTGTCACTACCGTTGTTCCCTGAACGAGATCTGTCGCCTGGGCTGCCTCTGATGCAAAAGTAGTGAATACACGTCCCTCTGCTATTGATCTAGTTGTCGTCGGAGCCTTAGTTGCTTTAGGCCTAACAGCGTGCAAGGCGCTAGCAGAAGACGAAACTGCCCCACTAGGCGTAGGACAGTCCCTAGCAAGGTGCCTTAGCTGCTGGCACGAGAAGTAAACTCTGACATCAGTCTGTAGGCACTGGCTCAGATAGTGTGGCCCACCACACCTGAAACATCTGACAATCTGCGACGCTAAGGCTTTAGGAGCGGAAGAAGTTGCTCCCCTAGGCTTAAATGCAGAAGTAGTAGTCCTTATTGGCATCTGGGCTGATGCTGCCGATCCCCTCGACTGAGATGGTCGAGACTACTGTTGGCGTAGTGACCGACTGTAGGGGCCCTTCTTAGTACCTTTACCTCCATTACCATAACTGCTAGTAGCTCTACTAGATGGAGCCTTCCCAACTCTACCAACATCCTCTGCATTAAGACTCTATATAATGGTGGCTTGATCCACTAAGTCAGCAAATTCTGTGATCCTAAGTGGTATCAAAATCCTCTTTATGTCAGTTCTCAGCCCGTCTGAAAACCTCTGACATCTCCACTCCTCCGAGGTCGGGTGAGAATAAAATTTGTAGAGCCGCTCAAACTGTATTGCATACTCACAGACTGATGAGTTTTCCTGCACCAAGTTTAGAAACTCCCGCTCTTTGGTAGCACGAACATGAGAAGGGAAAAACTTTTCCAAAAAACTACTTCTAAATACAGCCAAAGTGATGACTTCACCTCGGGCCTCCAACATAGCACGAGCTCCGTGCCACCACATCTCTGCATCCCCTGTCAGCATATACGGAGCATATAACACCTTCCTCTCCATGGCGCAACCCATGGTTAGGAAGATCTTCTCAATCTCCCTGATCCAGAGTTTAGCAGCATCTGGTCCATCCACTCCCGTGAATTGACGAGGATCATTCTTCCTGAACTCTGACAACCCATGGTATTCAAGAGAAGGTGCACTTGAGGCAGTAGCTGCTGCTACCTGTGCTGCAGCAGCGGCTTGGTTTGCAGCTTGCTACTGCTGAATCATATCTAGACTCTGCCTAACAGTGGCTGCCATGGCCTCCATGGTGTGAGCCATTTGGTTCACATCAACAGGAGGAGGGTTTGCAGCAGATCTTCTTGGTCTAGCCATCCTAATATATAAACTAGCTTAGATTACTAACGTTTAACACATTCAGCAATACCACCACATAGCTATATTCACAGATTCAGCTTATAGTGATATATTCATATTTAGTATATCATAACAGTTTAATCAATTTAGCTCTGAGCACAACATCATATCAACATTTCATACAGTATAGCAAACACACTTATCTTAGCAATCATTTACAATCTTAGCTTAATAATCTATTATTCACATAGCATGAATCGCCTATAGCTCACCCCAATATCATATACCTAAATTTCCTACATTTGTCGTGTCTGAGAATCGAGGTGATCAAGCTCGTTCCCTCACAACCTGATGATTAGAAATTATGATATATGATTCATAGCTAAAAATCACATGTCTAATATGCACAACTGACGCCTAACAACCTCACCCCGTAGGTTTACCTAGACCATGCTTTGATACCACTAAAATGCACGACCCCTTTTATAAGGAACTGAGATTATTGTTTCTACATTACATACTTATTTAAGAAAAATAAATAATAGAGAATATAAGTATAAAATTCACTTCTCATTCAAAACAAAACAAAATTTCTTACAACAAATATCTAACAGAACAACATGATATTACATTTAGTTCATAATCTTAAAAATATCAAAATTATACTATGTAGCTCCCTTTACATGAGTTCTCAAAATATAAGGAAAAAAGACTTTGATACATTATTACTCAACTCCAGCTTCTAACATTTCTTCACTAAACCTCAACCTGTGAAGTAGATGCAACATCTGCTACATCTGCTCACGTACCACCGTACGATCATCGCAGTACACACGCACACAACAACATAGAAAGAAATGCAAGAGTGAGCTTACAAAATAAACTAAAATTGTATATATGTAACAAAAACATTATTCACAGCAACAGCCCCATGCATTACCAGCCCATCTAATGCACAGTATGAAAACAGTTTCTAACTGGTTTCATAGCCTAAGTAATCCAGAAGGAACCGAGCCGGTCCGAGAGTGACCTATTCTGGTATCTGGATCCAGACAACACAGCACAGCAGCTCAGCATGAACTTCCGTTACACGTCTACCCATCTAAACATGTAACTCGGCTCTATAATGATGCAAAACATATATTTCAACGTAATGTACACCGCCAAAATTATTTTAACAGCTCAACTAAGGCAAATTTATAATAGATCTGCCAAAATCTCAGCATTTTAAATCAATTAACAGTAGTTACAGCTTAGAAAATAGCTTTTATTCAATAGATCTAACAAAATCATATCAAAATATCTTGAAATAGCATATTAAACCGTTCAAAACGTAGTTCATAAGTTAAAGTAAACTCCCCTTACCTCAGAACAATGATTCACACTAGATCTACCAAATATTACTTGTTTTATAGCAAGATTCACCAAAGATTTTCCTTTAGAACAAATTTTCTCTTCAAATCTTTCAGAATAGACGTAGAATCTCAGATCTAGCGAGAAATCTAAGTTTATGAGGGTTTAGTATGAGAGAAAATTGTGGTATTTGGCCTTAGAACCTTTGGAAACCTTGGATAGGAGTAAAGAAATGAAAATTTCGTGTGAAGCCCCCGTTTTATAAAAAAAAATTTAGAATTTACTATTTATCGCCTTACTGTTCACGTCGGAAACACTATTCTAGTCACTATTCATGCCAGAAACACTGTGCATGCGTACTGTACACGCACTGTACGCGTATATGACGGTATGATGATGTCATTGATGACATCAGCAGTCACTGTACATACACAATTTTTACTGTTCATACACGGTTTGTACGTGGTTTACTGTTCACAAGCGGTTTTACTGTTCATTGACATTGTTCATACAGTACTGTTCACTTTTTTTTAAAAAAAATAATTTCAAACTCCATCTAAATATATTCCAATACCAAATAATCCTTCAATTAACATTTAACAAGTATAAAATATTATAGATTACTCAATAATAAATCACAAGCCTGACACAAATCACCATAGATGATATAGAAAAATCTCTACATGATTGGTCAATACCTATAGTTAAAGAAAAAGATGTGTATAGATCTGTCTAGACTTTTAGAAATAACCATGAACAGATCCACAAAATAGAATATTCTTATCCTGGAACAAAATTAAATAGCGCGATTCAACTTTTAGAAGATCAACTTATACAAAACCATAGACAGGAAGGCTTTAAGTTTATTCATATAGGATTAATCCAGCTAGCAGTAAAACCAAACTTTAAGATAGGAGTAGACCTTCCTATTCTTGTATTATTAAGAAATATGAAATTACACAATAAGTGTAATTCAATAATAGCAGCTTTAGAAAGCAACCTACATGACGGGCCAGTTTTCTTTAACTGTTATCCTAATATATCAATGTCTTTAGATAATGAAAAAACATCTAAAGCTATAAAAATATTTAAAAAAATAAAAAAACATATCGTAAATGACTCATTTGATCCATTTCATGTGATCTATAGAGTCTATTATAAAATTACCAAAATTCCTTATAGATTTAAAGCAAATAGACAAATTAATAGAGACGAAACTGTAGTTATACAAGTCAATCTTGATAGAAGCTTAGTACAAGTACCTAAAAGACTAAGACATGACCAATTAACAATACTAGAAGAATGGATTTTTGAAGAATTCTCTTCTACTAAACAAGAAAATACAGAAATAAGGGATATAATAGAAGAATCAGAAAGGTTTAGACTTAAAATGAATAGGTCTAAATCAATCCGCATAGCACAACCATCTACTATTAGAGAACCCTCAAGACACTCTATTAGTGGATCAACAGTAGATATAGATCTAATGAAAATAGACAATATAACCAGACCAAGAGTTTCTATTCCAGTCTATGACCAAAATTTTGAAGTAAATTATAGCCCAACACCTTCTCAAGTCTTAAATACAATAGAAAAAATTGAGCCTTTTATTATAGACAAAATAGATTAAAGAAGATATAGATAGAGAACACAATATAGATAGAAAACTTGGCTAATAGAAACATTTAGTCAATAACAAAGTGCAAAAATTAGATAAAAATTTTATAAATACTTAGAAGAAAAACAAATAAATACTTATTTTTTCTCATGGATGGAAAAATATTGTATTAAAAACAATATAAACCATCCATTTAAAAAAGAAATAAATCCTTTACAAAAAATTAAAAATATATGAAAAACCACCGCAGAAAAAATTATAGAAGCTGAATATCTTCTTTTAGAACAAATAAAAATACAAGTAAAAAATGAGGAAGTAGAACCTAGACCTTATAAAAAAACTAATGAAAATAGTAAACCAATAAATAAAAAAGATATAAATAAAATACACCAACAATTAAATTATTCCAATACAATAATAAATTTAATAACTAACCAATTAAATAGGATAGAAAACAATAAAGAAAATTTCAGTAATAACAATATATTTAAAAAATTACATTATTTAGATAAACTAATCTATCCAATTACTACTATGTCAGCCCAAGCTATGAAAGAATTAGAAAAAAAATCTGGACTAGAATTAGATATAGAAGAAATAAAAACAAAAATAACTAAGTTAATTATAGATAAACAAACAATAAATACTTTAAAAATTAATAAAATTTATGAACATCCAAAAATAAAACATTATTACAATAGACCGTCATTACCAGATGTTACCTTAGAAAATAGACCACACTTTGTACAAAATTCTTATGGAGGCAATGACATTGTAGAATGGAATATTGATGGTGCATCTGAACAACAAATTTTTGATATTACACAACAAATGACTATGGCAGCTATTGTCTATAAGATGAAAAATGCTTCTGTTAGAGTAACAGTTGAAGCTATTGTACAAGGCTTCACTGGACAATTAAGAGGTTGGTGGGACAATTATGTAACCCCTGCAGACAGAGAATTTATATTAGGACATGTTAAACAAGAAAATAATGAACAAGATGCTGTTGTAACACTCATTTATCCAATATTATTACACTTTACATGAGATCCTATAGTATTTAGAGAAAGAGTAAGAACAATTACATAAGCTTAGGTGTCCTACTATAACTGATTATGAGTGGTATAGGGACATATTCATGTCAAAAGTAATGATGTTAGAAGATGCTAATGAACCATATTGGAAGGAGAGATTTATTTGTGGCATTCCTTCCTTATTTGCAGCAAAAGTTATAGAAAACATTAAAACTAGACTAGGAAATTTGAGTGAAATTTAATGCCTCAAGGACTGAAAAATGTCCTAAGTGAGTTTCATGAAATTATAAACAATATATTTTATCCATATATGAATTTCTCAATAGTTTATTTAGACGATGTATTAATCTCTTCAAAAGAAATTAATCAGTATATACAACATTTAAGTAAATTCATAGAATTAATTAAATAAAATGGATTATGTGTATCTGCTAAGAAAATAAAAATCTTTTAAGACAATTAGATTTTTAGGATTTAATATTTATCAAGGAACAATAACACAAATCCAAAAGTCTATAAAATTTACTGATAAATTTTCAGATCAATTAAAGGACAAAACTCAATTACAAAGATTTTTAGGATGTTTAAATTATGTAGCAGACTTTTTACCAAATATTAGAACAATATGTGCTTTTTTATATAAACGTCTCAGAAAAAATTCTCAGCCATGGGATGAAGAGATGACTAAAATAATCCAGCAAGTAAAAATATTAGTCAAAAGTCTCTCTTGTCTAGGAATACTAGATCCTTCAGCCTCTTTAATTGTGGAAATAGATGCCTCAAACTTAGGATATGGGAGAATTCTTAAACAAAAGTTACTAGATTCCACAATAGAACAAATTATAAGATATTACTCTGAAATATGACATCCTACACAACAAAAATATTCTACTGTAAAAAAAAAAATTTTAAGCATTGTTTTATGCATTCAAAAATTTTAAGATGATTTAAACAAAAAATTCTTAGTAAGGATTGATTGTAAAGCAGCTCCTTCTGTTTTACAAAAAAAA